CCGTTACACTTTCAATTTTTGTATTCCCATTAATCATTGGAAAATTAAGATTAATTTAAAATGCATTTTAAATCAGGAAAAAAAGTTTTACAAACTTAACAAGTCTTTTTTGTTATCGGGTTCGACCGATCACAGTTGCTTCAGTACGAGGTACCCGGCAAGTTTAGTCATTTCCGAATACATGACGCAACGGACAACTTTTTTTTTATAAAGCACTGAAAGCTTCATGTAATTTTATCGTGTTAAGTTAAGGAACTTTTTAATGCATTTACGTTTAGATGCATACATTTACACAGTGACATGGTGAATAAACCGTTTCCTCTTTGTGCGTAAGAATGTCCTTCACTTTTAAAACGGAAGTACACCATTTCTCTGTAAAGATTATTTGTTCATATGGGTTTCGAGATAGTCTTACTCATACATTAGTTTATTCGTTTAATAGGAAACTGGTTGCTCTTCATATTCTTTGCATTTTGCAGGCCACAATTTTGACATCTAAGCATAACATTTTCAGAAGATACTTGTTTTAATTTATACCTCTCTTGATGGCCATTTTAGATGCACCACCCATCTACATAATTTCATGATTAGATAATACCATAATTTATTATCACTGTATAAATGCCTAATAAACCCTACTTCAATTGATGTCAAATTGTTAATCTACACAATAATATAAGCATATCATGTAGAACACGTGTGTGGAAATATCGTTAAATTATATAAAACATGAAATCATGGAGGAAATAAATTCAGGTTAAAAATTATTCTACAATATATTCAAAATTTGTAAACACCATTCACTTTTATAGAAATGTGTCAAAAAAGCGAGATGAGACGAGAAAGCCATTAAAGAGTGGCAAATTTTTTCATCATTGTCGCAAGGACAATTGATAAAAAAATATGGTATAATTAATTTTAACAAAAATAAAGACGAATTAAATGCTTCCATCTTTTCGTTTTCTGTATTTGATTGAACAAGAGAAACTTGGTAATACAAGCAGAATGGCCAACATGTTTCAAGAATCGATTGTTCCTTTCAAAGAATTACTGAATCAAGGTTAAAAAACATGTCTTCAATTCCTTTTGCCCTTGATCTTTTCATTGATCTGAATGAGGACTGAATGCAAATACAATGTAAATAAAACGTCAAGGAAAACTAGTATATCATAAAAGCTTTTATAATAATTTTGTGTCCATTTGCACAAAAAAGTGATGAAAACAAAATGAACAAGGTCTTCGTTTCGATTTTTCTGACATCACCTTTGTCTTAATAGGTTAAAAGAGAATATTAGAATTTTTCTCTAGAGTGTACGCCTCGTTTCACAGTAAAAGGATGTCAACAGAAGTGCAAAAATCCCAATTATGGTGTAAAATGTCAGTCAGAATGTAATTGCTTGGAAGAAAAATGTGATTACGGTACTTGGTTGTGAAGGTCAGGTAAAGGAAATGGGGTGTTGTAAATGAAGAACTATCAAATAAGAAAAATGGGGTGTCGTAAATGAAAGACTATCAAAGAAGGGAAATGGGGTGTTGTTAATGGAGGACTATCGAATAAGGGAAATGGGATGTTGTAAATGAAGGACTATAGAATAAGAAAAATGTGATATTGTAAATGAAGGACTATTGTATAAGAAAAATAGGGTGTTGTAAATGAAGGACTAAATTTTTTTCCCGGATTGTAAAGCGTAAACTGACCTAAACCAGGTTATACTCGAAAAATTTGACCAAGAATTAGAGTCATTCCTAAAGTAAATCTAAAGTAAAATTATGTTATATAATTAAAAATAATTTGTGTTAAAATGTGTCCGTAGTACGACACGTGTTACTTTTCCCGTCAGGGAGGGCAAAACTTAATTTTTGATATTGGGGATATGCCAGGTTGCCGGCTGCCCCACTGTTATATTGACCACTGTTGATAATATCTGCCAACTCAATTAAACCAATCAATAAACAATCAAGATATTTGTTTTGAAATATTGAATATATTTAGGACTTTGATAACAATTTTAAATATGAACGAAGAGATTTATTTTTTAAAAAAGATATGACTACAGATATTATCAAAAGCATTGTTTGTCAATTACTAAACTTTGACTCGCTCTGCGATCCCATTTTCGCAGTTTAAAATGTTGGATGTTTAAAATATATATAGTGATATATTTAAACTTTTAGATTTAAACCTTTGAATTTATTGTTAAAACATGTCTACCAAATCTGGATATAATGTGACGTTAAATAAAAATGTCATGACAGAAATCCTCTAACAGCCCTTATATACCGTATAGTTGGTTTTCATGTTACCTTGCTTATTTTACGTTTCAATTTCAGAAAGAAAAAAACGCATTTTTCTTCCATTTGCATAAGGGAAAAGTATTTTCTTTCTGGTTTGTCAAATTTATTATTAGTCCCCTACCGGTGAAACTGGAGGGGACTATAGGTTTCCTCTGAGTCTGTCCGTCTGTCTGTCTGTCTGTCTATCCGTCTGTCCCTCTGTCCCTCTGTCTGTCTGTCAGCCTGTCCCACTTGGTTTTCCGCACTTTTTTCCTAAACGCTTGCAGATATCGTGCTGATTTTTGGTATGTGAGTGTATCTTGGTGAGTTACAGATCAAGTTTGCATTTCGTTCCGCTTTAATGATTTTTGAAGGAATTACGGCCTTTTCAATTTTTAAGGGTTTTCCACAATTTTCTTCTAAATGCTTTCAGATATTGAGCTGATTTTTGGTGTGTGACTTTACCTTGATTAGTTATAGATCAAGTTTGCATTTCGTCCCGCTTCATTGATTTTTGACGGAATTATGGCATTTTCAATTCTTAACGGGAACCAGATTACACATGCCGGTAGGGGACTAGTATTGCTAATGCAATACTCTCAGAATGCTTGTTGAATATATTAAACTCCAATCTTTTATCAGATGTTACAATTGAGAACATTTGGTCCATTGCAAAGTTTCTCGGCATGATCTCTATCATTTTTTGATAGCCAGTAACACTTCTAATTTTGTGTTTGAAAATTTTTTTTATTATCTTATTTTGTCTGATCTAGAAATTCAATGTTTATTGAAAGACATTTGGTGCTAAATTCTTTAATCTATAAAGGATTTAAATCCTCTAAACAGCAAGTTTTCATCACTACCACAGGACAAAGCAATACTGTATCACTCATGAGTTTTGCATAGAGGAAAATTATAGAAACTAAATATCGTCTGTTTCGTTTCTAAGTTGAACTGGAATTTCAATCTAATGTTCATATGCAACATAAATTTCTTTAAAGAACAAACATTTGTCAGATTTGTAATGTCATAAGAGAGATTTATATTTTAATGCCTTAGAACTCTTTTATCTTTTCTCTTCTGCGGAAGTCTATATAAATCGAATTCGAAATATGAAGTTACAGGAAAAATAGGACGGGTTCACCAAACTGCTCTTAAGATATTTTGTATGTAACTAAGTAAATCTTTCACAATGCATATTCCAATTCCGTTTAGCATTACCACTTTATTGTTTTTGATTAATACTGGAGAAGGTTTCGCATTGCTAATGCATGGAAATTCTAACGAAACAATCCTTTCGTCTGGTTTGCATACTTCCGATCCAGCAGAAATCAAGCAAATGTTTCTGAACCTAACAGCAGAGTTGGAAAATCTCAAGAGACAAATAGATGTACTTGGTGATGAAAAAAAGTTGCTTCAAAACAGAGTATTCTTCTTGGAAGTGGAATTGAATAAACTAAATTCGTCTAAGACCCCTTCCAGTAATGAATTAATGGCGTATCTAAGAAGCACGAAGCACATAATTCAAACTTTGGCGGCAAATGAAGAATACGACAAAAATCTAACTCTCCGACTTAATGAAGCGGAGAATAATTTGGCGATATGTGTTAAGCAAAACAAAAACTTAACTCAGCAACTTAACGAAGTAGTGAATAACATGGCTGCAAATGAAGTGTATGACAAAAACGTAAGTCAATGGCTCGGTGTTGCAATGGACAACTTAAATGACTTAAAGATTCAAATGCGATATACAAGCTTATCACTACTAGACGTTCATTCTAAGACGGAAGAACTAAATACAACGGTAACCAGAAATTATGACGATCGAATAAAGGATCTCCATGGGCGAATAACAAGTATGTATTCAGGCATTGCCGATTCTTAAATATTAAGTATCTAGTACATTTTATTACGATTTAATGTCAATGTCATAGATAGCTCCTCATGCATTTAAGGATATTTCTCAGTTTTGTGTGAGTTATTGGTATGTAAATCACACAGACTTGTCACGTAGGCATATTTCATGAAGCTCGCTAGCTCTTCATGAAAAATATGCCTACGTGCAAGTCTCTGTGATTTACACACAACAATAATTTACACAAAACTGAAATGAACATTCCTTATATATATATATATATATATATATATATATATATATATATATATATATATATATATATATATATATATATATATATATATATATATATATATATCACATGTTTAAAAGCAGCAAAAATGCACTCAGTGTTTGAATTTTCCGATGCCCTATATCGTTATATTTTCACTAACGTCTCTGTAGCCCCATTGTGACGTACTTAAGTGTGAATTTATCCTTGCATATTTCTGCGCGTGAGTATACATGCAAATGGCATTCAAATCAATTTTTAGTTGGTTAAGGACAAAAACACTGTAAATGTTAATATAAAAAAAAATGTGCTGTTTTTTTTTTTTTTTTTTCGAAATTGTTTGTTGTTGTTGAAGCTATTTCAATTTCAGCTCAATCAATTTAAACCATAGGCTTAAAGTGCTGATTTGATTTTTAATAACAATAACATATGTGAAGTACTTCAAGTAATATTTATTTCACGATTAGTTGTTTTTTTTTTTTTTTTTTTTTTTTTTTTTTTTTTTTTTTTTTTTTCATTTCAGTGATTTACGCCATATAGAAAGTTGTTTCATAAACTCAAATAAACCTTGCAGATTTAACCAAAAAGGTAGCCTTTACGGTCGGCATGAGGTCAGCCAGCAGCTCCTGGAACAGCGGTACATTGGTGTTCGATAGGATTGTTTACAACATAGGTGGAGGGTACGACTCAGGCACTGGTGTCTTCACAGCTCCTGTCAATGGACACTTTGTTTTTTTCGTGAATGTACAAGCTTATAGTTCCAATGCAGTATACACACATCTAGTACTAAATGGCTCGAATAAAGTCACAACTATGGCAGAAAATGGTTCTTACATGCCAGGACCAAATTTGGCGGTATTAGGACTTCAAAAAGGAGATCGAGTATGGGTCAAATATTACGCCGGGACTGGTTATTACAGCGACAGTACAGCTCCTGCTACCACGTTCTCTGGATTCCTTATTTAAGCTAAATTTTATAATGGACATAAAAAAATGTTTGGTTAAAATCTATTTCAAAACTATAATAATGATTAATAACTTTTCATGCAATTTAGTCTATTGTAGAACTCAATATATGATAGCTTTTGGTTCTCTTTGGATGGTGAAGTGAATGATGTTTTGTGAATAAATGACTTGAAATGAAGGTAAAGAAGTACACAGACTAGATCTTGTTATATGAAATATTATATTCCTTTTTTAAAAGAAATACTAAAAGAATAGACAGTGGCAAACTATAATGCGATTGAGGATAGTTTGCCAAGAGCAACATTAGAGAGGTTAAGCGTTTGACCGCGTGCGTCTACGTGTACGTGTAAACCTAGAAGTGTTTTTACAAGTACGCGTAACTAACATCGTGTTCTGTTTAACAAACAGCACGTGTACGGGTACGTGTAAAACATTTTGTAATAAAATATTCCATTGGATAAAAAAAATCGAAATAAACAAATCAAAATAAGTTTTCCTTCTATGTGATTGTAAATTAAAATGGCGCAAAATATGATGTTACTTGCATCTTTGGAGGATGATGATGACCTTTTACTGTTGGCGAGTGTGGGCGATAAAAAAAATTCCTCAGTTTATCGGCAGTTAAAGTTTGATGAAATAAGCAATGAACAGTTCCTTAATTTGTTTACAATAAAAAAAGGGGAGATATGAATGGTTTGTGTGAAGCGTTAGATTTACCAAGAAAGATTGTGTGCCAAAACAGGACTGTATGTTCTGGAATAGAAGGTTTGTGTATTCTTATTCGCCGATTAGCGTACCCAAGTAGATTACAAGACCTTTCGCATATATTTGGGAGATCAACTGCTGAATTATCATACATTTTTAACACTGTCCTTAATTTCATTGATACAAGCCACGGACACAGACTAGAGAGTTTAAATCAGCCTTGGTTGTCGCACGCAAAGTTGGATGAAATGGCCACAGCCATAAGTAACTGCGAAGTCCCGCTGTTAAATTGCTGGGGTTTTATAGACGGAACGGTGAGGCCAATATGCAGACCCTAATCACATCAGCAGTTGGTGTTTGATGACCATAAGAGAGTCCATGGTCTTAAGTTTCAGTGTATTACGACACCTGATGATGGTAAAAATATTTTCAAAAATACCCCGTACACCGCGATATACATAGAGAATAATATATACCCTTTAATTTCCGTATCACATCCTGTATCAGCTCGAGACGCAGCCAGTGGGCCGAAGGGCCGAGGGCTGACATTGGTCGAGGGCATGTTTTATTATGTTTATTACATACATGTAATAAAACACAGCACACATGAACTTGAGAAAAATACAAATAAATAATCATGTGTGCCCCCCCCCCAACTGAATAATTTTGCCGATATATAGAATACTATAAAAAAAACATGGCTAATATATGCTTGTGCCCCTTCAATTAAAAGGTCTGATGATTTTTTGCTTATCAAGGAATTTTTGGTAGTTGAAAGTGCCCCCCCCCCCCAAAAAAAAAATAAACTGAAAATGTATGGCTGTGTCCCCCGAACTAAAATTACTTCCTACGGGGTCATGCACTGACAAATGACATGTAGCCTATTATATCAAAACAGTAATTTAAAATTAAGAGAATATGAACAATTTTTTTTTAAAAAATAGATGTATTATCGTATGTACTGTTTTTTAAGGTTTAATCTACAAGGAGATATAAATCTGTATCAGCCCTGCAATTCTGCAATTATGACATCAGGTAAATCGCATAAGCAAGAACCCTGTTTTTATTACTAAGTATGTTGTAAATGTATGCAGTGTAATACATGTGCATACCTTTCTTTGGTGTCAGACACTCTAAGGCTCTCTTTCTTATTTCTTACCCAATGTTCTCGGATTTTTCTTTCTTTTCTTTTTCTTCTTTCTTTCCCCTTTCTTCCTCTTCTTTCAACCCCAGTACTTCATCAAGTAAAGTGGTTTTTTCTGTTATTTCTTCACCAACACCAGATCTTAAAAATAGTACTTAATAATGAGTTTTCAAACTGTCTGAATTTATTATAAAATCAGATTTTTGGTCCACCCGCAATGTTGTGTAACTAAAAACATAAACAAAGAGAGGATTCAGCTAAAATATAATTATGTGTAGTATTTATTCAGAAAGAGAAATAGAGAGATGTGTACTTTTTGAGATTCTCTCGGTTTTCTCTCTTATGCTGTTCAATGAGTAGATGTGTCCGCTCTCTCACTCTCCTAGCATCTAGAAAAAAATCAGGTGATGACAGGGTTGCAGCGATTTCTGCCCATTTGCTCTTGTTTTTCAAGGGATTACTGGCGACAATTTCCCTCAAAAGCCCGATGTCATCCTCACTTTTAAACCGAATTTGTTTTTTCCTCTCGATATTCATTTCCCCCCTAATTTTAAAAGAAGATTGAAAGAAATACAAGTATTAAAATAAATATAGAAATTGTATTAGTGATTGAGGATTTGGGTTCTACAGAGGGGGTGGGGGCATATTGTGTAAATAAATATTCTGGACCATCACCCCCATCTTCCGGAAATAAAGTTTGGAATTTAAGCCGTCAACTCAACCGGTGCTAACCCAGAGTTTAATAGACCTTTTTGTACAGGGTTCTGTACCCTTTCAATGGGGAATTTTTAATCGAAAAAGTGGCAAACCTTGGAAATACTGATGTCTGAAATCAAGTTAAAATGTTGATTAAAGAATATCTTTTAAGGCTTATGCCTTAATCAATATTCAAATCTTCATTTCTATTTTCTAATCATCAAAATCTCAAAATTCATGTCTTATTTAATTAAACAAAAAGCACTAATTAATGCAATGTGCATGTTATTTGGGAAATTTTAAAATTGGGAAAGGGCCCTTTTACAGGATCTGAATGCAAGGGTTATTAAACCCTACCCCCCCCCCAAAAAAAAAAAGAATGTTGGAGGGCAATTCCTTTTTTTTTCGCTTGTCAATTTCACATGGATTAAAATAAATAATATACTTCTGAGCATTTGGGAAAACATGAAAATAAATAAAAATAGATAATGTGTCTCACCCCCCCCCCCCCCGTCCCTTAAATATGCGTGAATCGACATAATTCAACAAGACGGGTACCAACAATAAAAAAACAATAATAATTAGTTCTTTGAGTAATGAATGTATAAACATATATCATATTGATTCTTCAACACACGTTGGAATTTTTCTCAGGTCATTCGAAATGACGTCATTTCAACATGTCACTTTACAATCCATTTTTATCTAATATTTCTATGACTTTGATCAAAAAAGGTACACAGATGTACGTAATAAATTCTCAACATCACAACAAACACCACATGAAAAAAAAAATCCATTATTTGAGTTTAAGAAGCTACAAGTTCTTACCTCCGTGTACTTGTGAATTCACGCGTTGTGCACAACTTGTAGAATTACGCGGTATGCAAAACTGATGACGTAAATCGCAGTAAATTAGGGGATTTCCCTAGCTACACGTACACGTAGACGTAGACGGTCATTTGCTTAACCACTCTATTGTCTCTGATTTATTGGTTACTATGTTTCTTAATTTTTTTTTATCAGTTTTCAATGTTTTTATTTTTTATAGTAGGCATTTTGGAAGAGCTGTCTCCTATTTTTTTACTGGTCAGAATACCAATTATAACAAGAGGCCCAAGGGCTTAACTTGAGTATAATACAACACTGTGAAGGATCCATAGAAGTCTTAATAAAATAAACTCTGACTTGTTTGCTAACAATTGTTTCGTTCGATTGTCATCATTTTTACTTTTGTTTTCATCGGTTAACACTGCTTTTATAAGATCCTCAACAATGAAGCGCTTATCTCTCTTTCCATGACGTTACTAACTCTGTTAAGGATCCATAGCTATCTTTTAAAAAATAGATTTTTGTGTGATGATGTTTTTCATTATTGAATTAATTAAACTAAAGAATGGTTTCTTTAAACTTGGTTATCACAATTTTATTGGAAGTTTATGACTAAGTAACAATCATTGTTTATTAACATTATTGCAGGTGCAACGTTGAATATTGACCCGTGTTGAAAATTGACCCGGGGTTCATTTTTCAACGATGGATACTGAACCTGATGTGCTTTTTCTCCGTTAAAATTTAGACCAAAAGTCGTGGAATGGAATACATACCCGGTGTCATTTTTCAACATCTTTGTAATTTATTTTTTCGGCACTTATGACCTAAACGCGTTGAAAATTAACCCTATTGAATATTGACCCCCGACTACAGCGTTTTGTCCTCTGTTCGATCTGGAAGTTGTTATACATGATTTATATGTATGTGTAACTACTAATATATTTATTAATTTCATAATTTGAATTTCTTCTAACATAATAATTAGATCGGGCTGAAATCATCCCTAAAATACAGGTGTTGTTCAATACACCTCATATCTTTTTTCATTGTTGTCTTTGACATAAGTTATTAAAAGATGAACTACGTATTGTACTAAAATGACCATCTAGAGGGCCCTTTTATCGCCCCCTCTCCTTCAGGTGTCTATTATGATATACAATTCATTATTAATTGCCGCCTAGGATAAAAATGCATGAATTTATTTTTTTTTTTCAAATTTGGGACAGTCACAAGATGAAACACTTCCTTTAAACTTGGCTCAATGTTGGCTTATAGGTCCTTAATGATGGCTTAATGGTTGCCTTTAAGTCACCATCAAGCACCATAAAACTAGCTTTAAGTATAACACCACCATTTAGTTACCATTAAGCTATTTCAAAGTCCTTAATGGGTACTTAAAGGTAGCTTAATTATGGCATAATGGTGGCTTATAGGTCCTTAATGGTATAGACAATCTTTAAGTCACCATTAAGCGAATTGCAAACTTATAGGTGCTTAATGTACATACTCCATTAAGCTACCATTAAACCACCTTTAAGCCACCATTAAGTCACCATCACGCAGTCGATAAAACTGCTTTTATGGGTAAAATATTATTTTTATAAAGATTTATCATCACAAA